TCATGCAAGTGTCTTCTTGATTCACTGGAAGGAGGGGAGCATAATCAAAATTCTGTCATTTATAGCCCCTCTCTGGTCTTCCTGTGAAGTTGTTTTTTAGTTTTCTCTAATCAGGAGGGGGGGGGCTAACACAACTTAAGGAAGTGCTTTTTACTTACAGAAGTATATTATTCCTTCTTGACATTTTTCTAATATCTTGAAGAGGCTCTTTTCTTTGTCTTGATGAATATTTGAGCCTCAATCATCTGATCGAGCTCACCAATAGCTTTTGTGCATGCACAGAAGCAGTTTTGTCAACTAAGGCAAAGTGGCAGCACTTAGTCACTTGAAGGACTTTATGTAGGCACTTAAAATCTCCATTAAAGCAAAGCACCACTTTGAAGTAGACACATTATAGAGTCAACTTAGATCTTTGTTAATTAGTTGTACTTAAGAATAGACGATCTCCCTCAATTGTCGATCGATTACTGAAAAAGTCATGACATGATATACGTCTTTCGACTTTCAACTTTAACATTGTTCAGACACAATAGATTAAGGTCGTTTGTTTAACCCAACACGAAAGAAATATCAGAAAGTTCTAATTAATTTTCATAATGAATGCATAACTAATATTCATACATTTTGTGTTATCCAACATTATCCCTGAAGGATGAGCTTCAATAATATGACAGAGATCTATTAAATAGTATATTTTGTACATCAAGTGGACTATTGATGTAGTCAGTTCTAAATTATACTTATATATGTTGCAAATTTGGCATTTTTCATTAGAAGGGATTATTTATCCCATGACTTCTGCATTCAACATATCATTATGATGAATTAGATAGACAGACCTACAGGCAGGCAGGCAGGCAGGGAGACAGATAGGAATATAGATAATAAAGTCACTTTCTCAGACAAATCCATCTCACAGAATTATGGTTGTGAGGAAAATAAAAGGAGGGAGTACTATCTATGCCACTTTTAATTGTGCAAGATGAAATAGTTCTAATAAATAAATAACCATCATGCCTTCATTTTTAAATCAAGGCAATACATTTCTTTTACATGAAGAGTAAAATAAGAGATTGGACAGCCATTTAACTGGAATCATATAGAGTCTCCTGCTTAAGCAGGGGGTTGGACTAGAAGACTTCCAAGGTCCCTTCCAACTCTCTTATTCTGTAATTCTGTAAATCCAGTATCTAGTGAAATGCATATCATTCATTTCCCTTACTCAAAAACTTTTTCTAGAGATAGCAGTGTTTCAGTATCTGAGTGGATGCCACAAGCAGAGGGGGCCAGGTTATTCACCAAAGCCCCAGAGGGAAGGACAAGAAACAATGGTTGGAAACTGGTCAAAGAGAGAAGCAACCTGGAATTAAGGAGAAACTTCCTGACAGTGAGGATAATCAACCAGTGGAACAGCTTACCCCCAGCAATTGTGGACACTCCATCACTGGAGATTTTAAAAAAAGAGACTAGACATTCACCTATCTGAATTATTAATCTGATAATTAATCTGATTGATCGTATATTTACTTTACCCATTAACAGAAATTACAAAAAAAGTTTATATTGCTCAATTTTGCTACCTGGGATTAGTTCATCTGTATTTTTAAAATTTGATTTTATTGAGTTTTATAAAGCTTGTTTTCTAAAAACAATAAGAAGCAAAACAAAAATCCAGATTCAAAAAGAAAATAGAATAGAATAAAATAGAATGGAATAGAAGAGTAGAGTAGAGTAGAATATTTATTTCATCTATATGAAGTGAATTGTCTTTTTTTCTTTCTCTATTTTGTTTTTATATAATAATAATAATAATAATAATAATAATAATAATAATAATAATAATAATAATAATAATAATAATAATAATAATAGTAGTAAAGTTGGAAGGGACCTTGAAGGTCATCTAGTCCAACCCCCTGCTCAGGCAGGAAACCCTATACCATTTTGGACAAATGGTTGTCCAGTCTCTTCTTAAAAACTTCCAGTGTTGGAGCATTCACCGCTTCTGGAGGCAGGTTGTTCCACTGGTTAATTGTTCTAACTGTCAGGAAGTTTCTCCTTAGTTCTAGGTTGCTTCTCTCCTTGATTAGTTTCCATCCATTGCTTCTTGTTCTGCCTTCTGGTGCTTTGGAGAATAGCTTGACTCCCTCTTCTTTGTGGCAGCCCCTGAGATATTGGAACACTGCTATCATGTCCCCCCTTGTCCTTTTCTTCATTAAACTAGACATACCCAATTGAGACTTTATTTTCTCATTTTTCAGAGTTTTCCAAACCCCCTGCACTCATCTATATGAAGTGAATTGTCTTGTCAAGAGTATCTTGTTTTTCTTTCTTATTTTGTTTTTCTTTTTAATTTGGACTTTTATTTTCTCATTTTTCAGAGTTTTCCAAACCCCCTGCACTTGTTTCCCCTTGTAGGATTTCCATCTTTTCCTTTTTTTGAAGTCAGCTCTCTAAAAATCTAGAACAGTAATCTGACTTGGTTCAGCTATCCTTGCCTGCATTATGCTGACAGGATATTATTTTATGGAATTTTCAGCAGAAACCTCAAAATGCAATTTATATTTTTTTTAAAATAGCATACTGACACTTCTCCACAGCATTGGAAATACAATGAAGCAATATTAAGGTTGTATAATTAATATGGAAAATGTATGGTGGGAAAAATCAATACTGCCAGATGACTTTGAAAATCGAGTTTCAAAGCCTCAGAATTTTACTAAATTATTTTTATGAACCAAATTATCTCTGACCATTGAAAACAATCCTTTTGTCAACTATATCTACCTACATCAGGAAGATACTCTGATGAAGTATACTTCACCCCTTGTCCACTTAACTATCACCTGCTACTTTAAGAATAAAACCTTTTCAGCTTTTTCATTTCTCAGCAGGCCCAGCCAGCAATCTCTCTAGATAAAATTCAGGCAACATTTTCCCAAGGTTTTTTGCTATTGGCTATACAAACCTGGGTTTGGGAGAACATAATTTAATAATTATCCGTAGTTGGAGCAAGGACACCAGGAAAGACAGAGGGAAAGCACTGTTCTCTCTCCTGCCACCAATGCAATACAGATAGTCCTCAACTTACAACATTTCATTGAGTGACCATTTGGAGTTACAACGGCACCGAAAAAAGTGATTTATGACTGTTACAGCATCCCTATGGCCAGGTGATCCAAATTCAGATACTCGGCAACTGACTCCTATTTATGACAGTTGCAGTGTTCCGGCGTCATGTGATCACCTTTTGCAATCTTCTGACCAGCAAAATTGATGGGGAAGCCAGATTCACTTAACAACCGGGTTACTAACTTACCACTGCAGTGATTCACTTAACAACTGTGGCAAGAAAACTGTAAAATGGAGCAAGATTCACTTAGCAACTGTCTCACTTGTTGTGGTTGTAAGTCGAACACTACCTGTATATGACCACATTCTTTTTTTAAAAAAAATCTTCCTTGCTCCTAGCAGCAGCATCTACTGCATGTTCTTTCCCTACTTATCTATTAAAGTAGTCCATGAAAATAGGTGTGTGTGAAAATGTGAAAAACAGAATATGAACAATATATATCTTGACCCCGTTCTGTATGTGACGTGTTACCTCCGTAAAAACTACCTTCTCACCTCGTAAGAACGGTATTTTAAACCTAGTTTGACTACGTCTTAAAACAGTCTCGTATATTATAAAGGGTGTAAACAGTAACCTTGGACCTAAATAATGACGTATCATGTAATTCCATCATACCACCTTCTTCGACTCTGAAAATCTTTCTAAACCTTCTTTTGTTGTTATTGTTACTTTGTGCTTGTCTCCTAACTTTTAAATTGCATAAAATGTGATTTAAATTGCATAAAATGCTGCTTCTAGAATCTCCACTTACATCAAGCATGTTCACCATCATAATGTCAGGATTCAAAAGATACTTGGCTCTCACAATGGTTTTGCATTAGTCTTAAAAGCACTTTGAAATATAAGTTGGTGAATCATTTTGGGGGCTCTGATGTTTTTACAAAGCTATCATTTGAGAGCAACTCCAGGTGTTTTAAACACTGCATGAGGTTGTTCTACAACCCATTTTAAACAGAAGAATTATTCCCCTTTTTAGTTTGGAAATGTCACCACGGGAGACCCATTTACATCTAAATGTGTGTTATCTCTTTTAGTACCAGCTTATGGTCTCTAGCAGTTAAGAGTGGTTTTACAATTTTAATGTTTTGTTTTATTGTAGAGTGAGTTGGGATTAATTTGTATGGAGGACATTATAGAAGTTAACTCTGTGGTTGTGTTGTGTGATGACAAATTCAGTAATCTCTTGGCTTCCTATTGTTAATTAATTCATTTCACAGCTCACTAATTTTGTCAATGAACAGAAGATACTGGTTCTTCTAAGAAGAGATGCAGAGTTATACTCACACGCACAGAGAAAAAAACATGCAATGTCAGTGGAAAACAAAATATTAAATCCATACATATAATTTATTATGAAGCCTCAAAGAGAACAGTGCATCATCCTTCCAGTTTTCTTTAAGTACCTCTGCTGGGAATGGTGTTGAATATAAAGTGTAGCATAAAATCCTTAAAATTAAGCATCATCCCATCCCAGCAAGAGCTCTATCATTGAAGAAGAATTTCATTCAATTTATTGTTCTAAAATAAGAATGTAAACAAAATTTAGAAATATTGTTTAGAAAACAACTGAGGAGCAAGGCAACCTGACAGAAAGGAATGGGTAAGGTCTTAAATGTTTTTATTCCCTCATACAGTTCAAATCGGATTCTTTTTCTCATTTTTTTCTTACTGAAAAAAAGGAAGATGAAACGTGTACTTCTTGTAGTACATAATTTAATCATCATGTATTTGCTTAATAAGAAAACTATATTATCACTTTCTTCTGTCATAAGATAAGGTGGAAAGAGTATGCCTTGCTTTTCCTTGCCTAGCTGTGATGCAATTTCTCTGGGTCATATTCACAACATTGATGGTGTTCTCATTTCAGACAGATGCAGCTTTAATGTATGATGCTGTTCATGTGGTGTCAGTTGCTGTCCAGCAGTTTCCACAGATGACTGTCAGTTCATTACAGTGTAATCGCCACAAACCATGGAGGTTTGGGACCCGCTTTATGAATCTAATTAAAGAGGTAAGTCAGGAGCAAGATATGCTCCCTTGTTAGTTAGAAATTCAGCATGCCCAAATGGCTTTGGCTTTGTGATGTGTGCTCCATTTTCAATTCATTTCCCCTCCCCCCCCCGCTGAATTTTGTTTTCATGCTAAATGTTTTCAATGTACACTCCCCAGTTTCTGAAAGACCTACATTGTGGTAAAATGCCCTACATTTTATGAATTTCAAATTTTATTTAATTATAAGATCTAGAAGTAGGACATGGATACTTTTAAGCAGTAGAACAAGTGCTGATAATCTTTTAATATGTAATGTTCATGGAATTGTTATGATGCTGTTTTCAGCAGTGTGAGTTTAGTTTGTTTCTGGTCTGAAAACTATGGATTCAGATCAACCCTGAACTCAGTGTTCTACACATAGTCCTCACTTATCAACTGCCTCTTTTAGTGACTGCTTGATATTACAGTCTTGCAACCAGTCTTTGCATTTATAACCATTGCAGCATCCCACAGTCATGTGATCATCATTCGTGCCCTTTGCAACCAGTGCACATTTATGTCACACTGTCCTGTGGTCACATGACTGTCATTTATGTGCTTCACTATCAGTTCGCAACCAGCAGCGTTAATAGAACATGCAGAAGTAAAATTGTAAGTCACGGTCACAGGATATTTTGCTTAATGACCATAGTGATTCACTTAATGACTGAAGGGGAAGTAACCTCATAAGCCTGTTGTGGTAATGTGATTTTCCACTTAGGGACCATAGCCCTTAATGCTAGTGGTGCCAGTCCCAAGTAAGTAAGGACTATCTGTATTTTATAAGGCAATCTTGGCAAATAGAGTAGAAGCATTAGAGTCTGCAATTTTTAAAGTGTAAAATGGGAATGGCTAGCTTTCTCCAGAAACTGAACAAGGACCTCATTCAATATCAAATCAAATCAAGGATTGTTAATTAGCAGGCGGACCACTAGTATGGGCATGGAAATTCTTCCAGCTTTGATATTTTCTTATATATGTCATCAGGTGTTTATAATGTTGGATCCTTTCCCTGCTTCCCCTTATTTTGGCAGCTGACTATATTACTAAAAAAAGCATTGAGCTTTAAAATGAACTTACGATGATCATAACTGTGTAGATATAGAACATTTTATATAACCCATTTTATGGGAACAGAGGTCTTTCAGCCACATTTTGGAAGGGCATAGTTGTATTTCCACTTATTTGAAACTTTAGAAGAAGTTGGCTGCATATGTATTTAAATACAAGTAATGACTCCCTTTCTTTCACTCCTAATCCATTTCTATGATGCAGTTTTTAATTAATCTTGGTGATTTCTGATGGAATGACTATGGGCAAATTTCTGTATGTTGCACCCTGATTTATTCCCTTTTTTCTTGCTACAGGAACAGTGGCAGCTAGAATCCAATTGGATGCTTTTGTTAGCAAAAGTTATTTCTGGGGTGCAATGGCAAGAGGCAGTTACTTTTTTTTCTTATGAACACTTTGAAGGGAATAAAATAATATCCATCTGAACTAGCAGAAAACTACTAGGACAGTGCTGGATTCTACCTAGGGCAAAACTCATATTTTTTTAATTTTCCATAGTCGAAAATGAATATTAGAGATTAATACTATATTTTGTGAGAATGCAATAAGGACTGTGTTACACGATGTGATAAGATGTGTTATTATAAAACTCATAACTGGAGATATACTCAAAGACAGCAACTGTCAACAAAAATGCCTGTATTTTAAATAAGAAAATAATGAAAATGTTTCAAAGATCATCCTAGTCAACAAGTGGTATAGAGTGGGTGAAAAAGAATGGAAAGTATTGTATGCAGGGATTAAAGAAAAGTTAGCTTAGTTTTCAGAAGAATGCCAGAAATCCAAAAAGTGGATGCAATTTTTTTTATATTGGTTATGAGGAAAAAGAATTAAAGTTAGTGAATAATTAATATTTCCATTCTGAGTCATTAATTTATTCATTTCTCTTTCTCTCTTTCTTGCTGCTTACATATAATTTTTCCCTTATTTTTCCTAGGCTCACTGGGAAGGTCTCACTGGCAGGATAACTTTCAACAAAACCAATGGTTTAAGGACAGATTTTGACTTAGATGTCATTAGTCTTAAGGAGGAAGGTCTTGAAAAGGTACTTAAGTTATTTCCTCATAAGTGATAATATTTCAAAAGAATAATATTTCTCATTCTACTTTATGCATTTTTTTAAATTACTGGATATAAAATTCACAGTTTCATTACCTGTTTAAAAGCTATTTTGAAAAAAAAAGATGTGGTGGCTAGATCATTTCTTTCAAATTATATATAGAAAACTACGGCTGTCATTACATTGATACAAAACTTGTACATTATTAATATTAAAGTAATAGAAGCTGTAATGGTACATGAGAATGACCTTGGAAGACGAGAGCCAAAGATTAGGCAGTAGGAAATGGGGGGTATGGCAAATGTCTCAGCAGGAACCCTTCCCAGATTTTAAAAGTAAAGTAAGACATGTACTTTTAGACTTGCAAGATCCCATGTTCATAGCCTTACAATATACTGTATAGTGAGCTAATATGGTTGGTTCTACCTCAAAGAGCTGACAGAAGCTGGGTAGTGATATAACTGTCAGCCCTTTGAGATAGGCCAAGTTAATGAATGGGCAAAGTAGGGATTTATTGTTATAAGGTAGACAAGCAGAACCTTTAAAGCAGGGAGCCCCAACCCCCAATCCGTGGACCAGTACCGGGCTGCGGCATGCCAGACCTGCCTAGATATCTTCCCACCACACCCCTTTTCTGTCTTTGACACAAATCTTGCATCCAGATGAATTCCCAAGATTTAGACCAATTTGAACAGATTCCTGAAAAGGGCTGTGAGGATGATCAGGGAATAATGGAATTGCTGAGAATATTTAGCTGAAGAAACAGAAAATTGAAGAGGGGCATGATAACAATATGGTAACTAGATGACTACTAAGGTTCCTTCCAACTCTGTGAATCTATGGTTCTTCAAATTATGTCATCTATAGAGTAAGATTAACATTTATTTTCTATATTAATACCCTCAACTGGCAGGGATGCTTTAGCTAATATCCTTGTGCTGATTTAAATATCTTTCTGGCTCTATAATTCTATTAGTTAGCTGAAGCTTTTCTGAATACTTCTATCATTTGGTACCATACTTCTTTAATTTATTATAACCTATTTCTGATTGGTTGAATTAGTTAATGTTTACTGAATCATTGTTCAGATGGCTGCCAACACTTTTCATTTGGGGCAGCCTTAGAATTAAAATACTTAGGCTAAGCAAACTAACTGCAGAAAGATGTGGTGCTAACATGCTAAATATTTTCTGGAGAAACATAACTCTGGTTAAAATTAGCATCAATGCATTGTAATCCAATTATAGCAAAGGGCATAATATGTTGGAACTGGTCATATATGTTTTAGGGAACTACAAGAAATAAAATGTAAAATGTCTTCTCTAAAGTAACTTTTGTTCATAATAGGTTTCAGAAGAGACTCCCAAAGTAACCATTTTTAAAGAAACTTTTTTAAAATAATGCTGCTGTAATTCACTCAAAGCTTTTCAACTGGCTATTAAACTTACCAGCAGAAATTGGATTTCCGGGATTCAGAATGTATTCATTTCATTCTTCCAATTTGGTGTCAGAATCCAAGTGAAAATTTAATTTGGCCAAATAGTTTCTGAAGCAATATATTGAGTTCTAAAACAATGGCACCCCTCTTTGAAATGCATTCGTCTTCAAAAATTTGTACTACCTTTAACTGGCAACTGCTGAACAAATTGAAGTGGCAGCCACAAATCATCAATTTTTAAGAACAGCGGATAATTGTGATTGAATAGAAGGGAGTGGGAGTGAGTTTCCACTTCATAATTTTTTTCTGACTTGGGAGGGAAGAATGCAGTTGAATGTCAAAATGTAATTTATGAGAGCTGAATGTAGGTTATCTTTATGTGTGTGCATCTGAAGTTTCATAGCACCAGGAAGAATAGAAAGGAATAGATTTGTTTACAGTGAAAGATAACTTATGTGGGGAGAATATACCAAGCTGTTGTTACTATTTTTTTTACTTTAGAGGATAGAATTTAAATGGAAAATTAAGCACTCGACATTCTATATATCATTTTACCCCAAATGCTACACTTTGCTAGACATATTTTGAAATTTGGTGAATCACATTTTAGACCAGCTGCTGCTAAGAAAATGATAACTGAAATTGCAACGTAAGAGAATAGGAGAAAGAATTTGCAGTTTTAATTTTGTCTTATTTTTCTATTTTAGTGGATGAAACATAACCCATGCATGATATGTAAGTTCTTATCCTGTTTTCTAGATTGGAACCTGGGATCCTACAAGTGGCCTTAATATGACTGAGAATCAAAAAGGAAAACCAGCAAACATAACTGATTCCCTTTCTAATCGTTCCTTAACTGTAACCACTATTTTGGTAAGTTATTCCTCATGCAATTAGTTTTCAGAAGTTCAGCTATAGTTGAAAACTACAGAAAGTGCATGAAATAATAATTACCAGCATTTGTATGTCGTAGTTATTTAGCAATTACTGATTAGTGAATAAGCTGAAATATCTCATTAACTGTGGGATTTTACCTTCAACTATAAAGATAGCAATTTTAATTTCTGTGCTATAATTTCAGTTGACTAATTATTTAACTTTCTTGTGATTTTTCAACATTTGTATATTTAGACGGAATCTGATTTGGGGGAAAAGTTTCGGTTGGAGAGGTATATAATTTTAAAAATGCAATTAATATTAATTTAGCAAAAAAATTGTCAATGTTCCGGCTAAGGATTCCAACAAAGTAAATACACCAGAGCTATTTCGATTTCTAATGCAAAACTTTATTGGATATAGCATACCGGCACTAAAGAATGGAAAACCAGCTCTGGCAATATGGCGAGAAAAAGATAATTAAAAGAATAAAACTTTCCCTCCACTCTCTGACAGGTCAGGTCACATTGTCCAATTAATCCTCAGGCAGTTGTTATGAGAAGAACATCTCTGTTTGCCACAACATTCCTTGCCTCCCATCCGGAGAGAAACCATCTGTGTATTCCAAACCTTCCCCTCCCCACTCACAACAGTTGGCAAGCTAGAAGCAGCCTGGCAGTTCTAATGCAAGCAGTCTTCATAGCTGGACAGAAATTCCTTCCAAAAGCAGTAGTGATTCTTTCAGACTTCTCATTCATATTTATTTTAGATTTAGCTTCCAATTTAAATAATAAAAGATATATACAATCTAAACTAACTCCTTAAATGCTGGAAAATTAAGACTTTTAAAAAGTTTAATGCCAGCACTTTTATTTAATCAAATACAGTTTGAATTTTTTTCCCTACCACATTTAAGAGACTCAGTATTTCAGCTAGAGTTCAAAAGAAGTGTTTCAAGCTTGAAATAGCTGTCATATGTTTGAAATGGGCTGGTCAGGTCATCGTGGAAATGTTTCAAGTTTGAAATGGAGAGCCCAAAGAAGCTATTTCATGCTCAAATACATCTCATTTTCGATTGAAACAGATAAAAATTGAAACATTTTATGAAGACTCTTTAGACTGTGTTTATTAGCTATTTTATTTTTATTTGTCCTTGGGGCAGGAGTAAGCAAGATGACATGACTTGAAACAGTGCATTTTATCCTAATATAAATAAATAATATTTTACATGATTCTATTGCACATAAATATTGTGTGATGAAGGGCACACAGGGAAAATAGAAAAAAAGCAAAAACATTTTTCTTGCCAGATTTCTACTGCAACCACCAATCATTTCTTAAACTAAGCAGTACTTCATTTTTATGCAGTGTTGAAAACATAAAGGTAACATCTGAACTTGTAATAGAAGTGATAAATAAGAAATAGAACTTGTAATAGAAGTGCTAAATAAAAGTTGTTCTTCCTGCAATTTAAATTCTGAATTGAGCAATTTTCTCCTTCTGTCTTATTCAGAATGGTAATGATCATTTATCCAACTGGATAGATTCCATATAAAAATATGGAATATTTTTTGTTTGCTTTAATTTTTAATTTTTTAACTATGTTTGTAATTATATTTTTTTTAAAAAATAATGCAAGCTTTTTTAAAATGGACTGACTTCCAAGGATATCTATTTAAGGACTGGCTTGAAGACAAATTGCCTTAAATTGTCTTAAATTGCACCTTATCACTCTGATGTCCTCCAAATATATTGAACTGTATCTCCATACTTTCCAACCAGCATCAGATAATTTTTATATAAAATAAAGCTGATTTAGTGCAGCACAGACACTAGCTTTAGGGAAAGTATGCTGTTGCTATAATTCATTTATTTCTGTTCTTAAATCTACAAAGTGACTGTCATTCATCTATGAAATATGCATCTCCATACTTTCCAAAATTATTTTTACTACAGTGAAAGTCTAACAAAAAGAAATAACTGTAAATTTTTCACCAGATTTTTTTTAAATGTGTAACCAATCAAAATAGCTGGAATTCAGGCTGTATATATGCATATTACTCAGTGGAAACATTTGGCAAGGCCTGGAAACTAAGTAGACTGGGTTTAGTTTTTCAATGGGACATTGCCAGGGACTACATAAACAACAGTGGGAAGTCAAAGAATACCCTGAAAGAACATTAAGAAGAAATTTTTGGCATATAGTTGTCAGAAATACTGTGTGGATGTTTTCCTGGAGTTACAGCATGGCAAAGTAATAATATGGACATTTATTGGATAAAATCTGAAGAAAAATTCCAGTTCCCTGTAATGATTTTCAACTTTTGGTTAACTAGTTAGTGGTTTGTAATTTCCAGTCTTCACCAAGCACATAGAACCACCGCATAGAACAACTCCTTATTTTTCATTTCAAAATTCTTTCTATTTCAGAAATACAGTACATTAGCCACAGAACTCAATATGGTGCATTCTATATCTCTAAAAGAAAGCCCTCAAGAATGAGTGAGATAAAATAAATTTAAGTTTACTTTACAAAATACTCACTCTATTTATCATTATAATCTTTTCAACTTGTCCTGAGAAATAGCAACAAAGAAGTTTTTGTTCTTCTTTGGGATTTTGTTTTTTTTTCTGTCCCAAACTATTTGATGGAAAAAGTGGCATATATTGTGAGGAGGAACATGCCAGCAGCAGAAGAAAAGAACCTTGTAGGGCCTGGCACCAGTAGAGGAGGAAGAAGGGCTGCCTGTGGATGGTGATCATGCATGGTGCTAAGGTGCTGAACTTGGAGTGGGAAAATTCAAGTTTTAGTTATCCATTTAGCCAACTGGTTGACTGTGGGCCAGGCCTTCTCTTTTAATGCTAGATGGAAAGTTGAAAAACATCTGTCTAACCCTAACCCTAACCCTAACCCTAACCCTAACCCTAACTCTAACCCAATATTGGACCAGCATGTTAGATGACAGTCTATAACCTTTAGTAACAAAAGCCAGTTTGGTGTAGTTATTTAAAAATCAGGCTACAAAGAGGGAGACTATGAGTTAAAGAAATAGAAAGCACATAGCTCTTAGAAGAGTGCTATATCTAACTGGAAACATTCTTTGTGATACCACTGTTAAGTAGGGCGTTACCAGTTAGCTTTCTGTTGTATCTTATATGGTGATGACATTCAAAAAGAAGTCTCTGTTGAAAACCTTACAGTGTGGGGAGGCATATAGAGAGGTGAACAAGTGTTCTGAAAATTAGTAAGATGTAACCAGGACAAAGTGCCTGTCCTTTATAGTTTAACAGCAAATAACAAACAAAGTGGTAATCAGAAAGGAGAAGAGCTAATCAAATCCAAAAGGAGCCAATACCTCTAGAACAGATTTAGTTTATTTGGTTTCTGGTATCCACCGAACAGCTTCTCAACATGCAGAACTGAACTTTAAGGAAGTAATTTCTAAAAACCCATACGTGGTTGCTGAAGAACTGGAAAGAGGGTGAGACTAAAAGAAGGTAGTTCCAGAATGAAAATGGAATTGGAATGCAGATCTCATTTTTAATTTGTAGTTCTTTTTTTAATAACATGGAGATGTTCCCATACTAGTTTGAAGAAAGCATAAAGAGATTTGGCTGCAGGTTTTCGATTACAATAAAATAGTAAGCCAGGCATAACTCATGAATTGTGACCTTTGAAAAAGATGTAAACATTATACAGTATTTACTGTCTTTTTGGTCCACTCCTTTGCCTGGTTGCTGACTGAACATGCATCTTCTAATGCCTGGGCAATTATTTCACATCTATTTCATAACGATGGAAAACATAATTAGGGATCTTGGTACCAAGGGCTCAGTAGCACATCTCTCAGAGAGATAGATCAGATGATGTACTTTTTGAGGGCTTGGGATTCCTTCTGGCTGAGTCTTGAGGTATTCCAGATCTTTTTCTTCAGCAGAATATTTATTTATTTATTATTTATTTATTTTATTTTTCATAACTTATATGCCGCCCTTCTCCCCACGGGACTCAGGGCTTCTCACAGCATGTTAAAACAACACAAAACATTTCCCCTATAAAAGCCAATTAAAAGCCAAATATTTATAGCTGTGTCATTATTAAAATCATTAAAATTGTCCCTATTTAAAATTCACCCTAGGTCAGTCCCGCTTGCTGAAAAAGCCATGTCTTGAGGGCGCGGCGGAAGGTTAGGAGATCCGGAATTGTCCGGATCTCGGGGGGTAGTTCGTTCCAGAGGGTGGGGGCACCCACAGAGAAGGCCCTCCCCCTGGGGGTCGCCAGCCGACATTGCTT